CGCATTATTATATAATACAATGAGATACCAAATGTCTAATATGAAACAACATTTTGAATATTTTTAAAATGTTATTTTCAATTTCTTCGGCACTCATTCGGACTTTCTATGAAACGATAAATCTTCTTGTTATTTTATAATTTAATTATCGTAAATTGGCTGCTATTTGATCTCGAAACAATCAGCCATCTATTGCTTCAGCATTAAATTCACCTTCAACCGAGGACTCAATATTCAAACGAGAAACTTCTTTGTTACTCTGCTAACATTCAAAATTTTCTCTGATGTTTCAATTGGTAAAACACAGCATGCTCTTATGAAATGGCAAATAAGATGGATGTTTTTTTCATTGTTAAGTGATACAGTTGCATAAAATTTTGTTTTAATAACGTATGTATGTTCAATAGTACTTCGAGCACTATTATGTTTTTTATTGAAATTTTTCTGGGTCTGTGTGAGATAATGAATATTTAGAAATCGTGTCTTCAAATTTGTTTTCAGCGGGTAGGCTGCGCCTCCTACTAAAATGTATCGACCACATTTTTTATTCAGATTTAAACACAAGTTTAATCTCCTAAATATTCTGGCATCATGTACTGAACCAGGATATCCAATGGAAACATAAATAAATTTGTTCGGATCATCACAAACAGCTTGCATCTGAAAAAAAATAAATTAGAACGTGATTGCAAATATTAGTATATGAACAAAAATACCGCGCATTTATGTAACAATATCCTTTCCGGTTTAAAAATTATCTTGAATCCTTTGCAGGTTTGTTTATACATATGTGGCGCCCATCGATTACTCCGATTACATTAGGAAATCTCTTTTGTGAAAATCCTTTGGCAATCATTAATTTTTGAACTAATACAGCTTAGAAAATAAGTAATTCTTTGAACTATTTTTTAACTTCCCGAAGGAGAAGTTTATGTTTTCATCAAAAAAATTCGAATTGCTAATTTTATGTTTTCTCGACGTTTCAAGCCATTCTAAATCGAATGAGACCAAATTTGGAAAAAGTATGTGTGTGTGTGTGTGTGTGTGTGTGTGTGTGTATGTGTGTGTGTGCGTGTATGTGAACAGATTTTTTGCCGTAAATCGACGTTTTCTCAAAAACGGCTGGACCGATTTCAAAAATTTAAAAGCCATTCGATGTATCTCGATGAGGACTATTATTTGTCAGTTTTGTGCGACGATCGGCCAAGCCGTTTCTTTATAAATCGCAAAAAAGTGAAAAAATTTTCGTCTACGTTTTAGCCCGCAATTCTGAATCGATTTTGAAAATTCAAAAACCGTTCGAAAGATATTGATTGGGAATCGTGCTGATTAGTTTTTGGTAGAGATCGGCCGGGCCGTTTTCTTGTAATAAAGTTTTAAAAAAAAAAATTTCGACGATTTTTATGATTATTTTTTTTGACGGTAGATACCATAGTCTTCTAGATCATACTAAAATATTACGGTCCTACGACAACTGGTTCAGCTTTAAAAATTCGTCAAAGTTTGCAAAAATATGTATCGTTTTTTTGGCATTTGTTAAAATTAGACTTTTGATCGACGTTTTCTCAAAAACGCCTGAACCGATTTTAGAAATTTAAAAGCCATTTGATGTATTTCGGTGAGGACTATCGTTTGTCAGTTTTGTGCGACGATCTGTCAAGCCATTTCTTTGCAATTTGAAAAAAAGTGTTAAACTTTTCGTCCACATTTAAGCTCATCCTACCGAACCGATTTTGAAAAATCAAAAACTGTTCGAAAGATATTAGTTGGGAACGGTACTGATTAATTTTAGGTGAAAATCTACCGAGCCGTTTTCTTGTAAATAATTGTTGAAAAAAATTTAAGCCGATTTTCATGGAACTTTTTTTGGCGATATACATCATGGTCTTATAGAACTTACTGTAATATTACGGCCTTACGACAAGTAGTTTAATTTTAAAAAATCGTCAAACTTTGCTAGAATTATCGTTTTTTTAAAGTAGGATTGATGAAGTATATTATTTACACATTTTTTTTTTGATTAAGTCGATTATTTACACATATCGGGAAGTTCATGTAACTTGCCTCAAGGCTAAATACCAAACCAACTAGTTTATGTAGAGAACTTCAAGTGATATCAAAGCGATCACTGACATCACTGTAGCTGGCACTTTAATGTTCCGCAAACCACAAAAAAGTCTGCACCTAAAATTATATTTATTTATAATCTTCTTTAGAACAACAACAAATTTATGCTGCACCTGATGTAATGCGCTTATTTTTCTATATATTTCATATGTATTTAAATTGTAGATTGTGCTTTCTTCACATCGGTCAGATGTTTGCTTACAAACATTTCTGCTCTGTGAGTGTTCCATAAACTGTGCCTCATCATGCAATGGAACTACTTTGTCTGCCAAAATAAGATTACTGTATATAGCCATTGAATAAATTATTGAGTAATCACCAAACGTATCTATTATAGTGATTGATTTATTAATAGTTAAAAATATTACAAAATAATTTAGTAACAGATTGCATTTTACTTACCAAGATAACCCTTATTTCTTTTAACTTCCACAAACCTTAATAAATTTAGATCATCGTCGTAGTCGTACTTTTTAAAATCGTAAAGAAAATAAAAAGCACTTCTTCTTTAGACTACTTTCTGTACAGTTGCCATTTTGAGGTTGTTGTTTATAATTCTATTTGAAATATATCATGGGTACATTAACCCTCGTTCCCAATGCTTAAGACTGTTTCTTCTGTATAATGAAAATCCGTGTTTTGCTGGCACACAACCCTATAGCTCAATCCCATATGTCCAAATAGATTTTATGATAGTTTTGGAGATAAGAACTTTGTTTTTTGACGACTACTTAGAATTAAAACCTTATGCTGGCTCATAGGTTGCAGTTCTGTTTTCTATTTGCTTTGCTTTTTTATTGATGTGCGGTATCCAATTTAATTTCTCGTACCAGGTATTCGACGGCAGTAGCTTCGGAAATGAATGTCTTTTTCATTATAACTGCTTGAAGGGCAATTGCCTTTCTCAAGAAATTTTTCTATAAAGATGGTACTTGAAGTTGGGATGTTATTTGTGTACAGTACGTATAGCATCGGTCGTTATAGCAAGTTTGTTTAATTTATTGGGGTAAATTTTGAATGTTCTGACAGAGAATAAAGAAATTTAAGTCATCAGCATTAAGCGGGAAAGGATCGAGAGTTTTTGGAATTCGTCAGAGGTAGCACATCTCTTGTGTGCATACGACAAAGCTGCTGTTTGGCACTAGAAAAAAATGAAGGCCTTGTTTGATGTAATCAGTTCTGTTGACGTACCTATTGATATTAAAGATCCTAACATTATTGAATTTGTCACGAACCATTCTAGAATTCAGAGGATGATTGCCATGTTTGCCATATCGATAAGTAATTCTAACAATACAAACTTTTGTTTTGCTACAGGAATGATGGGCTATTTATAATGCATCTCAAATAGCATTAGATTTCGTACTGACATTCGTCTCAGCCAAACCAACACGATCACGATCACTAAAATTCGCAACGAGATCCGAGATACCAGCAACCGCGCTAGAGAACATACAATTCATCATGCTTCAAAACTCTGAGATAATATTTAACAGACTTATTAGGGGGCGTCCATTAATAGCGTGAGCGTGTTTTTAAGGATTTTTGAAGTCTCTGAACCATACGCATGTCAAAATTTTCCCACGTTTCATCTATGTTATAGTACTGATGATGGTTCAATATGTTCTACCGCAGTGATTTCTTTTACTCATCTAAAACTAAAAGAATTGCCTTAGAAGAATTCTCTAATCCAAAGGTTTTTTTTTAAATCTGACGTCAAAAATTTACACTTTTGTTATGATATGATCAATTTCTAAATAACCAAATATACTCCTCAACAAGATTTGTTGCAAATTCTTTTCAGCAATAGATGTTGGTGTTCTTTTATTTACAGTTTTTAATTACCACCTGATTTATAATTATAACGCTGCATAAGGTGAGATAAAATTCACCTGACAATGTTTTGGTCACAATTTTCAATGGCTGTAGAATCTTCACACAATATTCTAAAATTGCAAAGTGTATTGCTGCGCATAGCGCATCTTTAACCGTCAATATTTTTTTAAATATATTTTCTTAGTAATCTAAGTTGATTTGATTTTGCAATTCTTGCAGAATACATGACGATTTCGCACTTAGCTTTTGGGATTGCGGTATTAAGTTTGCATTTTTTTTTTGTAAATTCAGTGTAAGTTCAACGCACGAGAATTTTTTTTTTATTTAAAAATAAAATAATAATCTTCTTCAAGTCGATGCATTATCAGTCACAACAATAATAACTTCATCAAAGATTTGCCGTGATTTTCACCACAAAATCTAAATTTTTTGGCGCAGTATACCATTCTTCTGTACGGCGTTATTGGTTTTTACGATTTTTTATACTGTTTAATCAAAAATATGACTAACTGCTTATGTCGAGTAAATTATTTTGATATATATTCGTTAGCGAAAAAATTAACCTTTGAATAAATTATGACAGCGATTTCCAACCTGTGGGGCGCGTGGACCCCCTTGCTTGATTACATGCAAGTAATCTACAATTTTCGCTGCAATTTTATCAGGACAAATGTAATAGCATGAATATACTATACTTTTGGTGCATTCAAAATATTTCGTTTTTGCGTTTGTAGCCGAGTGAGCTGTAGGCCTATAAACAAAAGATAAGCACTCGGATCATATCGAATATTCACGTGCTTACTCGAGACTAACTAAAGTAAATAAACAAAAGCATCCTTTTTATTCTATTATCTATAAATCGAATTAGTTCATTAGTTGTGCTGGAAAAACACGCGTTGATATATAGAAAAAATCATTTCTAAATTATTATTGAGTTAAAATTTATAGCTTTAGTTTTAGCACATTATTAGCCAGGAATTATTGTGAAAAGTAGTGAAAAAGTGATTTTCTTTGATTTGTTATAAAAACCGTTTGTAATGGATAAATACGTGACTGGGTTGAAAAGAAAATTTAATGAAGCAGAAGAAGAGGATGGTGAAAATAATGGAAATGTACTTCACAAAACAGTAAAACTAAACATAGAAAATATGATCCAATGTACTTATCATTGGGATTTACGTATAAGATCATTAATGGTCAAGAACGACCAATGTGTTTGCTGTGTATGAATACTTTGGCCTCAGATAGCATGAAACCAAATAAATTAACACGACATCTGGAAAAAGTGCACGCCGATCATGTTGGCAAAACAAAAGAATTTTTCCAAAGAAAATTAGATAACTTAAATAAACAGAAAGAATCGTTTTCAAAAGCTTTGTTTGTATCACAAAAAGCGTTACTTGCGTCATACAAAGTTTCGTATAGAATTGCTAAATGCAAAAAAAACCCATTCAATAGGAGAAACTTTAGTACTACCAGCAGCTATTGACACAATAGCTACGATGTTTGGTGAATCATATGCTGATCAAATTAAAAGCATTCCGCTGGCAGATAATACGGTGGGAAGACGAATATCAGATATATCTGATGATCTTTGCGATCAGTTGATAGAAAAAACTAAATTATCTTCTTTCGCGTTGCAAGTAGATGATGCTACCGATGTTGCTAAGGATGCACACTTAATAACATATATAAGATATGTTATGGAAAATGATATTTGAGAAGAGTTGTTATTCTGTAAGGCAATTGAAGGCAAAGCTACGGCGAGTAGTATTGAAAATGGTATTTTATGGGAGAACTGTGTTGGACTGTGCACTGATGGAGCTCCATCTATGGCAGGAAAAAATGCTGGTCTGCAGGCCCTAGTTCGAAAAGTGGCTCCTCGTGCAGTTTGAACGCATTGTATAATTCATAGGCAATCTCTTGTTGCAAGAAATATGGGTGAAGAATTACTTGAAGAATTTGAACTTATAATAAAATTTGTTAATTTTATCAAAAATAGTCCATTAAGAGAAAGGCTTTTTGGAAAATTGTGTGATGACATGGGTTCAGAATACAAAGCACTACTTTATTATTGTGAAGCACGTTGGGTTTCTCGTGCTAAAGTACTTCAAAGGGGTTTGAGCTCAAAAAAGAAATTGCCATTTTTCTTGCTGATAATAAAAGAGATGAAGCAGACATATTTTATGACACGATCTATTTATCTAGTTGACATTTTTAAAAGACTAAGTGATTTAAATAAATCAATGCAAGGATCTCAAATTCATGCTTTTATTCAAAAGGACAAGATTACGGCGTTTATGCAAGTAAAGATCTTATTATCAATCATATGACTAGTCTAAGCAACCAATTTGCGCATTACTTCAAAGATCTAGATATGTCCAAATACGAATGGATTAGAAATCTATTTGTTATTGATAAATATGATGATTTTGGTCTTCCAACGGCAGAGCAGGAAATGATAATTGATTTATCTAGTGATAGCACATTGAAGCAGATGTTTCAGGACGAAAAGAATATTGATAAGTTTTGGTTACAAGTAAAGGACGATTTTCCAACTTTAACAAATAAAGCTTTAGAAATTTCATTACCATTTGTGACATCCTACTTATGTGAAACTGGTTTTTCTGCAGTAGCAGTATTAAAAACAAAGTACCGATCTCGTTTAGCGATTTCTACAATGGAGCCGCGGTTTGAGATAATTTGTGCTAAAAAACTAGCTCAACCGTCGCATTAATTTTTTAATGTTGCGTGAAATATTATATCATTTGTTTTTATTAAATTTAAAATTATTTTTTCTTATAATCAATAGTTATGTTTGTATGTATATTTTTGTATGTTTATTTTTGTATGAATGTATATTGTGCATTATTTGGTACGAGATTGAATAAATCATAATTTCATTTAAGTATATTTAAATTAAATTGTTAAAAAAATTAGGAGGGGCGCAATATTTTTTTCTTTCAAAAGGGGGGCGCAAGGAAAAAAAGGTTGTGAACCGCTGAATTATGAAGGGATTTGAACACTATCGTTTGCGCTTGTTACAATTTCATCTATTGTAACATCATTATTGTGGGCTATTTTACTTATTTGAATTGGAAGGAACAAATATGGCAACATATTTATTATCAACATATTTTTTTAATACTTAAATAGGAATTATAATAAATTCTATTAATACAAAACGTTCATAAATTTATTAAGCAAAACAAGTAAATAACTATATAACACTTTATAATGCTATAAATCTAATGGTAAATCATTTAATAAATATTTTTTAACTTACAAAACGCAAAAAGTTACGCTAAAAAGTGTAAAGCAATACTTGACTGAAGTTTTCAAAGTACAAAATTTGTCAAAATAGCCTTCCAGGACCAAATTTGGCATCGGAGCTGAGGAGTAACAAATCAAAAACTCCCCTTTTGGCTAGAAGGGTTGGTCACAACATCTGACCTAGGTTCACGTAAGGAAGCGGATGAGGAGACACTGCTCGAAAGAGATGTGTGGGTGATCCATATAGCGCACCGTGCGTGGAAACTCCCGGCATCAACGTGCCGCACCCACGGGAGCAAGAGGATGCCAATGAAGGGAGAAGGTGCACGGCCGGAGTGGATGTTTTTTTTCCCGCTCCAATGGTCACAAGCTCTTACAGCAATAGAGGTAGCTGTAAGGGTGACCACCCCTCCACTTTCCAAGGCACCGCTTTCGGAGACGACCTTTTGCTCTGGAGGACCATTTAAATAGACGTCGACGTCGACAAGTGAAGTATTTATGGACGTCGAGCAGGATGCGTCCAAAGCCGCTATAGTAAAAGGAGGCAACAAGGTTCCTGGCAATTTTCACCGAGACAGAGTAAACTTTACGCCATCGCCTAGATGTCGTTAAACGCCGATGGAGCGACTGGGCTCCAAAATTGACGAGCTATCAGAGTATGTCAAAGATAAGAACAATGTTCACAGCAGAATAAAGGAGCTAATCAGGTCGATTAGCACAGAAACTATACAGACCTCTCCCGAGACAACTATTCAGCCGGGTGTAAATCAGACACCAACCCCTAAGACCCAGGAGCAAAGCACAAACAAAAGGCTGCTATCGTCACTTAGCCCCGCCTCTGACCCGGAAACACATCCGCCCAGAAAAATCGGCTGTAGAAAATAACTGGACGGAGGTGGCTCGACGAAGTTCAAAAAAGAAAGGGGCACGGGATCCGAAAGTAACCTTGAAGGAAACCGAGAAAACGGAAACCGAAAAAATCGAATCAAATAATAGTGCTAAGCACAGAAACAGCCATCATAGGAAAACTCGGAAGAAACATAGAACCAAGGCTGTTCTGGTTCAACCAGCTGATATTCTTAAGAAGATCAAGGAAAAAGTAAACCCGACAGAGACTAGCGTGGATATAAAGTCCATCAAACAGACAAGATATGGAGATAGTGCAGCCTTTGCAGACGTGATCAGCGCAGCAACTGAAAACATAGGAACGGTGAAAACACTGACGCCGCTGACGACGATAGAGATTCTTGACCTTGATGGTGTCTCTACCGAAAACGATGTCCGCAACGCATTCAATCGGGACTTTACGACAAAACTGGAAATTCGACAAGTGAACTTTACCAAAGTAATATCAAGAGGACATCGAGCGGCCTTTTGTGAGATAAATGAGGCTAATGCAACCTAAGCCCTAAATAGGGCTCGCATAAGAATTGGGTGGGTCACCTGTCGCATTCGCCCAGTTGTTAAAGTAGCCCGCTGCTTTAGATGCCTCGGTTTCGGACACCAAACACATAAATGCGGGGGACCAGGCAGAAGCAAGTATCGCTACAAATGCGGCGGCGAAAATCACAAGTCTGTAGACTGCACGGAAAAGCCAAAGTGCTTTCTACGTACAGTGGACAAAGAGAACCAGAACAGCGGGAGCCATGTTGCTGGATCCGGTACCTGTAAGGCATTCCGTGTAGCACTTGCCGAAGCCACGAGAGAACAGAAATGACACGATTTGTACAAGGTAATCTGAATAGATGTGCCTTGGCGCAAAATCTACTGCGCCAACGTATCTTTGAAGATAAGATCGATATCTGCCTTATCTGCGAGCAATATATGAATATTCAGGATAAATCATGGTTCGCAGATAAATATGGCACGGCGGCAATATGGATCACAAACTCGAAGAAAATCACCGTCAATGACAACGGAAGCGGCGAGGGTTTCGTCTGGATCAAGACTCCCACGACCAACTGTGTGAGCGTCTACCTTTCACCAAATGAGGGGATTAGCGTATTTCGCCAGAAAATGGCAAGCATAGAAGACACTCTCGGCAAGCGTAGCTGGTGATTTCAACGCAAAATCTGCTGAATGGGGCGCCGAATACTCGGACACCAGATGAAATGAAGTGGCAGACTTTGCTGCAATATTGGACCTTAGTGTGCTAAATATTGGGAATATTACAACTTTTAGAAGACCAGGATATCAGGAATCTATCCTCGACATAACATTGGTGACTCCAAGGACAGCGAACATGATTGCAGACTGGACTGTATCTGAAGAGTATAGTGGCAGTGATCATCAGCATGTGACATTTAGTATTGGATCTGGTCCGACTCGACTATGCGTCTTTTACAAACGGAGGTGGAATGCTAAGAAGCTTGACTCTAAAGCGTTGCGAACAGCTCTCGAGCAAAACGCATCTACTCTTCAAGTTTATCCAACACTAAGTATCCGCAGAGAAACAGTCCTTAGAACTATGAATGCTATTATCACCTCATGTAACGCCTCTATGCCACGACCACGAAAAACAGGGTGTACACAGTCCAGCATATTGGTAGTCATCAGAGATAGCAGAACTGCGGAAAAGATGCCACGCACTACGTTGCCGCGCCACAAGAGCTGCAAAACGCTCTCCCTACCAAGATTTGTATACAAACGAGAACAAACAGGCAAAAAAGACCCTACATAAAGCCATAAAATCAGCTAAAGCCGGATTGTGGAAGGAGATTTGCAATGATCAACGGAAACAGCAAGAGAAACATGGCGTGGTAGTTTTAAAGCTCGTAAAATGTGACTCCTCTTCACATTCGATGTAAAAAACGCCTTTAACAGTGCGAATTGGGAGGATATTTTAAACGCCCTAGAGCATAATTTTGACGTGAAGCCAGAGAATCTAGGACTAATAGACGACTACCTTGATGAGAGAAAGTTGATAGTGGAAACGACGGAAGGTCATCAAGAACACGAGGTTACAGCTGGTGTACCTCAAGGCTCAGTCTTAGGAGCCGATCTGTGGAACGCTGTCTACGACGAGATACTGGATATCCCCTCGCCGAAGCAGGTGGAACTCACGGGCTTTGCGGATGACGTTGCAGCTACAATCGTAGTGGACACCACTAAGGAGGCTAAATTACTCGTTCGAGAGACCGTCGATACTATATAGACCTGTCTTGAGAAACACCACCTAAAACTCGCCAAACAGAAAACGGAGATGGTTGTCTTGACCCGACAAAAATTCCAAAACCATTCGCTGTAGGTTTCCAAAACCATTCGCTGTAGCTGTAGACATAGGAGAGACAACTTTGACGTCGACAAGGGCCTTGCGTTACCTGGGAGTAATGATATATGAGAAGTTATCCTTCCGTGAGCATGTCGATAATGCATGCATAAAAGCTAGCAAGACAGTATCCAACTTGTCAAGGATACTGGCTGACTTCTTGGGACCACGAACCCGAAAACGACGAATCCTGCTTGAGGTAGTCCATTCTGTGCTGCTATACGGAGCAAAACATATCGGCGCAAAATAGCGTCAGTGCAAAGACGAGGAGCTCTAAGAGTTACCTGTGCCTATCGCACGGTCTCTGAAGCAGCTGTAATGGTAATAGCAGAAGCTATACCAATTGACTTGCTA